TGAGGGTAAGAAAAATTGAACAATTTGAACCTATAAAGGAGGTTTCAATTTCCGTATAGCTAAGGCTGACTTGATATCAACCTTATGACCATTTCCAACCAAATGTTTCACCGTAGAGGAAGATTTCTGTCTATCCTGTTATCTTATTTGACCATTAGAATTCATTTATTTCTGCAGCCATTTGGGCATGTACTCTACCAAACTTAATTGCAGATCATGATTGCTCCTCCATATGTACGTGTTTCCACACTTACATGTAAACTGATGGAGACAATAGGACGTGACACATTTACTTACGTTATCTTTGGGTTTTCGGTGAAACATAGACCTTGTCTCGTTTGAAGCGAACGATACTGGGTTCAAGTCCCAGGATGAACATCAACTCTGAGATGCGAGCCCATCCATTTGAAGTGTCCCAAATAAGACGAAACGCGAGTCCTGGATTCTACTGCTAGCCACTGTCACAGCAATCCGCACAGTGTGCTCATATGACAATAAGAGACTGATCAATTGAGGTGCTAAGCATTAATGGGAAGATTCAAGTAAACAATACCAAGTAAATAGACCTTGTCTTTTCAATAATGACACGTTGAGCTACATAAAATGTTCGGTTCATGGCCAATTCAACGGAATTTATAGGAATTAGGAAGAGATTTAAGAGCAAATGTCCATTAAGAGAATTATTTATCTTATTTTATTCATTTCTAAATTATTAAATGATCTATCCAAAGTTTTTTTGCCCTAACTTGTAATCCTGAAGGGAAGCGGAAAAGAGGAAGTACGAAGAACACACTACGTTGGGAAATAGAAGCAGATATGAAAAAGATGACTGGCAACTGGAAACAAGTGGAAAGAATCGATCAGGACAAATTTGGATGGAGAGTGCCTATGTGACCTATGCGATATGTAACAGGAGTAAGTAAGTAAGTAAGTAAACAAGGTTTTGTTTATTTAAATAAATTGAATGACAGTCATCGATACCACTACAAACTCAACCTTGTTTACAAATATCTATACTTACCTACACTTTCGTTAATTGATATCTTTCATATTTAAAATAAAGTCAATGATATTCAATTTAATTAACTTAAGTATAATTTAAGCCAAGTTTCATTATTAACTAACATCATAAATTGTATAGTTTATACTAGTTTACTATTAGATATCAATCATAATATAAATTATAAACATATATCTACTCATTGTGTTATAAATAATGTTTATATAAATAATCAATGATAATAAACATTTAACTAGGATTTATGTTATTGTGGTTACATCAATAAATGATCAGCCTCTGATTGACATTCTGTGAGGATTGTATCGAAATGACTGTAAGTCATGAGCATTATAAGAAAAGATGGATAGTGGCTAGCAGTGGAATTCAGGACTTGCGTTTCGTCCTATTTAGGGCTCTTCGGTTGGATTTACCTGTATCTCAGAGTTGATGTTCCCACCGGGACCAAATGAATTCGAAATTCACCCTATTGCACAGGATTCAGTAGGTAAGAGGATAACGCGATGGTGTTTGAAGCGAAAGATATTGGACTCCAGTCCCAGAGTGAACATCAAATCTTATATGCAATTACATCCAGCTGACGAGTCCCAATTAGGACGAAACGCGCATCCTGGATTCCACTACTAGAAAACATCCATTTTCCCTAAGTAAAGATGTGCTTAGAAATCCAGCTGTTTCTTACAACAGTTTACTTTAGTCATAATGAATAACAAAAATTTCAATGGTTGAGATCATGAGTCGATTGAAGCTAGACCACCATGGAAAACCTGGAAACACTGGACGGCCATTTAATCCTACCATGGGACTCCTCAGCAGTACGCATCCACGATCCCGCCCCGCGAGATCCGAACCCAGGACCTATTGGTCGGACGAAACGGCCGTCCAGTGCTTCCAGGTTTTCCATGGTAGTGCAGCTTCATTTGACTCATGATCTCAACTACTGAAATTACTTTAATATCCACAAAACCCTTCTGATACTAATCAACATATGCTTACTAGTGACTGGATTCATGAGGTATTTCCTGGTATTCTAATGAGAAGTAATGACCAATGCAGTTCAACCGGATCTATTGTGAAATAGTAACTCATTGAAGACAATGGTGGATGTGTTGTCGATCGATTTCGTGGATTGGTTGAAGTTAAACATTATCACCATTGGATGCCGGCCGGTCGGTTCAGTGGTTTAGAAGTTAAGCGTTCGCGCACGAGACCGATAGATCCTGTGTTGGAATTTCGTGAGACGGGATTGTCGATGTGTAGTGCTGATGAGTCCCACACTAGAACGAAACGGCCGCTGAGGGCTTCCAGGTTTCCATGGTGATCTAGCTTCCATTGACTCATGATATAAACTATTGAAAGAAACAGTAACTGTTGAGAAAGTAGACTTTTTAATGTTCATTGGCTCAAATGTTATGTATAAGCAAACAATCCTCATAATTTATAATTAAATCATTGAGTAAGTTATACTTATAAAGTGTCCTGAAGTTGAAATGTTATCAAATTCCATGATGAATTATTGTCTGAATTGACTATATCAAGAGACTTTTTTTATTCTCTAAATGTCATAACAATCTCACTGTAATTCTAATATTTCTTAAGGATTTACTCTTCGCTTAGAAAACTACTTTGTCGAATTGTAGTGCATAGACAATATGATTCTATTTCACAAATACAACAATATAATGTGAATTAACTTTTAGATAGACATTATCAGTATAAGGTTGTGGAGATTATTAAGTTTTTGTTTGAGATTATGAAATGATTGATATTAGACCACCATTGAAAACCTGAAAGCACTAGACGACCATTTTGTCCTATTGTGAGACTCCTTAGCCGTGCGCATCCACAATCCCGCTCGCGGCATTCAAACCCAGGGTTTTCATTCTATCGCACGAACGCTTAACTTCTAGACCACTGAGCCAGTCGGCATCCAACGGTGTTAATATCTAACGTCAACTAATCCACGAAATTGCGCGACCATCTATTATACTGAGGTAGATACCTGTCTTTACCCGACATGGATTAGATAGTATACAAACTGTTAAGAACTTCCAGTTTAAAACTAATATAATTGTACAATGATCTATATTATTCAATGATTTTTCAGTGATTTACATATCATTTTAATTTAGTTGTGTACATTTAAACTATTTGACTTACATTAACTGTTTAATTACAAATTTCTTCATTTATAGAACAGATGTAATTGTGTATGGTAATAATTAAATATGCAAGAATATGAATGAAGTTTTTTGAATGTATGTAAGAAAGAATTAAACATGACAACCACAAAAATAACAACAAAAATCATTTTATGGTTGCTATTAGTTACATATTATATATATGTATATAAGCTAAACAAATTATATCACTATTGATTGACTTGAACTAAAGATTGGTTGAAGTTAGAAATTAACACCGTTGGATGCCAGCTGGCTTAGTGATCTAGTGGTTAAACATTCACGTGCGATATCGATGGCCCTGTGTTCGAATCCCGCGGGGCGGGATCGTGGATGAGCACTGTTGAGCAGTCATATACTATGACGAAACTGTTGTCTAGTGCTTCCTGATTTTCCATGGTGGTCTGGCTTTAATCGACTCGTGAATTCAACTATTAAAGATAAGCAAGTGTTTTTTACTTATGTACTCTTACTGGTCATCAATAAAATGGCTTATAAATTACGTCAATTTATTTGTGATCTAAAATCTTCAAACCAAATAATTAATTACAACATTAATTGACTACATTGAGGTAAATTAATTCATAGGATAGAAAAATGATACATTTTGTCAAGTTATTCAATATTGAACAAATGCATCACAATCATAAACAATTCAACGTACATTTGAAGTCCATGTAGTTTTCATCATATGAGAACGAACTTAACATAAATACGAAAGTAAAGAAAGAAGACTTCATGTGTGAATATCAGTCATGGGTTATACAAGCACATTCATTTTACTTACTTACTTACTTACGCCTGTTACTCCTAATGGAGAATAGGCAGACGACCAGCATTCTCCAACCCACTCTGTCCTGGGCCTTCTTTTCTAGTTCCATCCAATTCTTGTTCATTTTCTCATGTCTATCTCCATTTCCCAGCGTAATGTGTTCTTTGGTCTTCCTCTTCTCTTTTGGCCTTGGGGATTCCATGTGAGGGCTTGTCTTGTGACGCAGTTGGGTGCTTTCCTCAATGTGTGTCCTATCCACTTCCAGCGCTTCTTCCTGATTTCTTCCTCCACTGGGATCTGGTTTGTTCTCTCCCACAGTACGTTGTTGCTAATAGTGTCCGGCCAACGGATCCGAAGTATTTTGCGTAGACAACTGTTAATAAACACCTGTATTTTCTGGATGATGGCTTTCGTAGTTCTCCAGGTTTCTGCCCCATACAGTAGAACTGTCTTGACATTTGTATTGAAAATCCTGACCTTGGTGTTGGTTGACAGTTGCTTTGAGTTCCAGATGTTCTTCAGTTGTAAATATGCTGCTCTTGCTTTGCCGATCCGCGCCTTCACATCTGCATCAGATCCACCGTGTTCATCAATGATGCTGCCCAAATATGTAAAGGTTTTTACATCTTCCAAATCTTCTCCGTCAATTGTGATTGGATTGGTGCATTCTGTGTTGTATCGGAGAATCCTGCTTTTCCCTTTGTGTATATTGAGACCTACTGCTGCTGAGGCTGCTGCCACACTGGTCGTCTTCTCCTGCATCTGTTGTTGCGTTTGGGATAGAAGGGCCAGATCATCTGCGAAGTCCAGATCGTCCAACTGCATCCTAGATGTCCATTGTATCCCGTGCTTCCCTTCAGACGTTGACGTCTTCATGATCCAGTCGATCACCAGGAGAAAGAGAAAGGGTGAGAGTAAGCAACCTTGCCTGACACCGGTTTTCACTTCGAACGACTCTGTCAACTGTCCTCCATGCACGATTTTGCAGTGTAATCCATCATAGGAATTCCGTATGATATTGACTATCTTCTGAGGCACGCCGTAGTGTCGAAGAAGTTTCCATAGTGTTGTTCTGTCCACGCTATCAAATGCCTTTTCGTAGTCAATGAAGTTGATGTAGAGTGATGAATTCCATTCAATTGATTGTTCCACAATGATCCGTAGAGTTGCGATTTGGTCTGTACACGATCTATCCTTACGGAATCCTGCCTGTTGGTCACGAAGTTGGGCGTCTACGCAGTCCTTCATCCTGTTTAACAATACCCTGTTGAAGACTTTTCCCGGTATTGAGAGAAGAGTGATGCCCCTGTAGTTATCACACTTGCTGAGATCGCCTTTCTTCGGTATTTTGATCAGAAGTCCTTCTTTCCAGTCTTTTGGTACTTGTTCCTCATCCCAAATCTTATTGAAGAGAATGTGGAGTATCCTTGCAGTTGCCGCTACGTCTGCTTTTAGTGCCTCTGCTGGAATGTTGTCCGGTCCTGCTGCTTTGCCACTCTTGATTTGTCTGATGGCCATGCTGATTTCTTCAATTGTTGGTGGGCCAACATTGATTGGGAGGTCCGTGGGTGCTGCTTCGATGTTGGGTGGGTTCAGTGGAGCTGGTCGATTCAAGAGTTCTTTGAAGTGTTCTACCCACCTGTTTTGTTGCTCTTCAATGTTGGTGATTACCTTGCCTTCCTTGCTTTTCACTGGTCGTTCTGGTTTGCGGCGATTTCCAGAGAGTTTCTTTGTCGTGTCATACAATTGTCTCATGTTTCCTTCTCTTGCAGCCTTTTCCGCCGTCGTTGCTAAATCTTCCACATATTTACGTTTGTCGGTTCTGATGCTCCTCTTCACTTGTTTGTTTACTTCTGTGTATTCAGCTTGTGCCTTGGCTTTTTCTGCTCTTGTTCGACTGGTATTGATTGCTGCCTTCTTGTTCCTTCTTTCTTGAATCTTATCCAGTGTATCAACAGTGATCCATTCCTTGTGATGGTGCTTCTTGTGACCCAGGACCTCATGACATGTTGAAGTGATTGCCTCTTTGATCCCCTTCCAGTTGCTCTCCACAGTAGTTCCTTCTCCATTGAGTAGATCATGAAAGGCCTGGAACTTGTTGCTGAGGACTATCTTGAATTTGTTGAGTTTGTTAGTATCCTGAAGAAAGGCCGTATTGAACTTTTGTGATATTGTCCGCCCCGTTGTCCAGTGCTTCTTGAGTTTCAATTTCATCTTGGCGACCAGCAAGTGATGATCTGATGCTATATCAGCTCCTCTCTTGGTTCTCACGTCCTCTATAGTCCTCCTGAACGTTTTGTTGATGCAAATATGGTCGATTTGGTTTTGCGTGGTGTGATCCGGTGAAGTCCATGTGATTTTGTGAATATGGTGCCGCCTATGACCAGTTTATTGAAGGCACATAGGTTTGCAAATCTCTCACCATTTTCGTTCCTTTCTCCCAGTCCGTATCTTTATTTACTTCTTCATGGCCGGAGTATAACAGAAGCTCCCTGAAGCTAGTGGTTTTGTCGAACTTGCGTCGAATGTGTTTCACTGGTCCCAAGCACCTCTAGGTTGTTTCTTCTCATTTCTGCAGCAATTTGGAAGACTCTCCTGGTCTTCCACGTTGTACGAACATTCCATGTACCTTCCACGGGATGAAGTCGCTAACCCCATGCCCAACCCTCCTCCTTTATCTGGGCTTGGGACCGGCAGTAGCCCCCGGAGGGACTCCAGGAGGAGTTTGCACATTCATCTGGCGGTTACTTAATCAGACTCAGTGAATATATATAATTACATTGTCAGTACCAACGCGGAAATATATCGAAGAAACTCTGCTGTAGGGATGGAACTTTCTAGTGTCAATTTAAATATTTTTACTTCTCAAAAAGTACTTTTGTTTTCGTTAATGAAAACGGAAATTCTTGACACATTTTTTAAGCCTACGCTATTAGATTGTGAACATATAACAGTTCTGATTAACATTTGTAATTCATCTTGTAGAAACCAGGAGACAGTTTCCTTCCGATTTGATCCTCTAATTAGTGTTTCATGCATAAATCAAATGATTTGCATTATGTTCACATCACTGTATATGATAATGTTTAAACACTTTATTATTGGCAGTTGGTAGAAAATAGATCACTGTTAAGTCTTTAATACTGTTTAGGATTCAATAGTTAAATTATCTATTTTGCCGTATTGAGTTTTCACATTCAAATCCAATATTTATTATGAATGTTGGCTAGCAATGGAATCCAAGATGTGCGATTCATTCTTTTTGGGACTCGTCAGCTGGATGCAATTGCGTCTCAGAGTTGATGTTCACTTCAGAACACGAACCAAGTACCATTCTTTTCAAATGCCATCACTTGTAACTTAATGCAACATTGAGACAATCCACACAGGATGCATATATTTCAATAAGAGATTGATCAACTGCAATCTCTAACATCAATGGGAAGATTCAAACAAACAATACAAAACGAATTAGCCCAAGTGCAAGTTAATCCCATTGAAATGAAATCATTATATCGATAAAATGTCTTCAATTAATTTATAAACTGTTGTTTTAAAATGATTTCCGTTAGTTTATCGGCCCTCATCGGTTGAATCTACGGTATCGACATTAACTTTGATTAGATTTTGTTTTACGAAATGAAACTTCATATCCATTAATTTCAGCCTTGGTATTCATCGAATTCCCTTTTTTATCAAATTCTTTATTTCATCTAGATTGTTTATGTGTTTATTTCTGAAAACTGCACATGACTAATGGAATATTCCCAAAAGTCAATTGCCAATATTCGTTTTTACGTCCGTATCAGATCCTCTTTGTTCATTGATGTTGATGTCCATGTACGTGAAAGTTACCACCTACTCTAGAACTCTAAATGTTAATATGTTCTAATTAAATATCAGACTCTGATTATTATTTTTATGTTATACGTAAATTTCACATGCTGTTTGCATATGTATGCACAACAACTAAACAATTTAAACTCAAATTCTTACTAAACAAGTTATCTAAGAAATTTCATAGGTTGAAATCATGAATCGATTGAAGCTAGACCATCATGGAAAACCTGGAGGCACTGGACGGCCGTTTCGTCCCAGTATAGGACTCCTCAGTAGTGCGCGTCCACGATCCCGCACCACACGGGGTTCGAACCCAGGACCTACTGGTTTCGCGCCCGAGCACTCAACCACTAGACCAATGAGCCGGCCGGCATCCAACGGTGTTAATGTCTAACTTCAACCAATCCACGAAGTTGCGCCACCGTACACCATTTCTCCAGTGAGTTGTTTCAACCTATGAAATTTCTAAAAAACTCTCCACAAAACCCATTCTGATAATTATCTAAGAAAGTTGATTCACCTAAAACTTAAGTAAGATTCTAGATACCATTTCAGCATATAAGATTGGTACTTATCTCTCTAATCCCTAATGTACTGTTTATCAATCAGGAGAAATGCTGATCCTCTAAGATTGTGAAAGACAGAATTAGAAATAATCTTTGCTGTTAAAAAGTAAACATTTAACTACTAAAGTTTTTATCTCATAATGACGTCAATTCACAATGTATTACTATTAATACCATGAGGAAATAAACATCCAATGCAGCTGTCATAATTGTTATTATTAGGAAATCATAATCGAAAATTATTGTATCAGTAGGACTCTCATAATTTCATATTGATCTTATGCTGTCCAGTTTAAGTAACAGCCTAAATGAAATTTGTGCTGATCATGTTGTTCAGAAGAATGATGAAACTTGCACGACCAAACCATCCAGTTCAGAGAACAAAACACCATCAGAAACATTCTATAAAAGATCAATTAAATAACTTCATTTAGTTCAAATGACACCTAAGCAATAATTGAGTTTGTGAATGAAAAGAAAAATAGTTCATGTATTTAAACATTTAAAAACTGTTATCAACCAATAATCTACTGAATAAACCATTTACTATTCAAACATTTGATAACTGCATTTCAATTGTTTGTTTCAGGTAGTTGAATAATATCACTTCCCTCAGCACAATATGTGACTAGTAGATGAGTACACATGTTTGTTTTTTAAGAAATAAGTTATATATATCAGAATACGGATTCGCGGATATTGTAGTAATTTTAAACACGTACTCACTAGTGGTTAGCTTCAAGTTGGACTTCCTAAAGTTCTAGAATGGAGCTGTGATCAGTGTAGTGTGTAGTGTCGGTCACTATGTTAAACCCGTATAACTTATTCTAGTATTTGGACCAGCCAGTTTATTCATTCTACTTGAGTCATATTTTGACCTTGTCAATTATTCACTTATCAACTTTGACTGTTTTTGTATGATCGTATATGTGAGCACATATCCTATTCATCACATGTCTGTAGCTACAAAAGTATGATAGAATGTCATAGAAAGTTTTCCGATTCTATGTGTGTTACTGACATAGCGTGACATAGTGTTGCTTGCTAACAAATACATTACTATACACATATAACTTGTTCTACTTTTGCTTGTGATTGAGCTAACTGCATTCTAAATCAAACATTATCTGCATTTATAGACTGTGAGTCGGTATATATCATACCTAACATTGGTTTACATTATTGGACAGTCCAACAACCTGAGCGGAATTACCGAACATTTATAATTGTGGATTTTCAGAACCAGACCCAATCCGAACACGCATCAACTTGGTGAACTTAAGTGAAGTCCCAATTTTTCTGTTGTATTTGTAACAATTAACATTATTATTTACTCTTAATAACTTGGTTAATACCTTTTCACGTTCATATTTGTCTGGTTCACCACATATGAGGTATATAATTCAACATTATTATTTCTAGAAACACTATCCATAGATTTTTAAATATATATGAAGACTTGAATCGGCGGCCTATGCTCCATTGGGAGTAACAGGAGTAATTAAGTAAGTAAATAAGTGATGTAGACTTAAAAGCAACAAGACGAAGTTTTCATTTCTTATAGTAATACTAAGAATGATTTAACACACAAATAATTTACTAAATTTCCTTATTGTTTAAACTGAAAAGAAATCATACATATTCCAAAGCATTCACTTACTCTCATGAAACCAGATAACTTTTTCAAAGTTTTATACTTGTTTAAATTTACTTTCGATCGCTTTTGCTCTAATCTGGATGTTACTTGTAGTATCATGATTTCTTGGCCATTTTTCACAGATCAGTTCAGTTCATGATTTTAATAAAATTTAAGAGTCTCCATAACCATTTACTGACACAGATCAGATTTCATTTAACAGGTTTAACACCGTTAATTAAATGGATTCTGTTTTCTCTTTTGTTTTTTGAACATAAAATTATGAATGTTGAGTAATTTCTGAATGTCATTTACATAAAGTTTTTCAGATATCGTCATACTACTATGAGTAGTTTGAACAGTATTTTAAAAATCTTTGAGGTTAGTACAAACAACATAAAGTAAAGGGATGAAAAGATATTTAATTTATTTATATTAAATATTCGAAAATAACTAACCTTTCTTCACTTATATAATTTATACGTCTTATTGATAATTGTGTAGCCTAGTCTTTCTATTCACTTGGTTAGATCATTAACTTAATAGGTTCATATGTATGACATGTCTAAATAGTTTAAAGCTAAATGAAAATGTAATTGAATATAGATATATTTCGTTTATACAATATAATTTAATTTTCCTGTAAAACGTAATTTCATAAAGTTAGGTATCGTTTTAATCTTTCCCACTATTCACATTATGATTAGTTTATTGATATATATAAAATGACAAAACATGGTTAGTTTCAGTTTCAGTTTGTAAAGGACAGTCAGTCAGCTACAACGTAGGACCAGGCACACATATGCATCGGTTCAAGTTGCTATACCTCATTAACACAACAAGATGGACACCGGATTCATAAAAGTAGTTAATTCAGAGGTGGTAATATATAAAAGAAAGATTGTGTATAAGGATATCGTACAGGAAGAAAGAATTAGCTGGTAGAAAGTGAGGTATAAAGCAATTTTAATCTCTTAGTTTAAGGGAAGATAGAGAGTGTATACACCGACGCCATTGTGATCGATTCTGAGCCATGTCACCAAGAGTCTCCAACCATTGGTTAAGATAGTCACGCGGACCTCAACCAAGTAGTATGCATCTACCAACATGGCTTGGACTAGAAGTTAGTGACTTCAAGCACTGATGCCACGTTTTGGTTTGGCCGTCCCTAACTTTCTTCCAACCATCTTCATCACCAGTTAGCATTGCACGTGTTCAGGCATACGTAACACGTGGCCCAACCATCTCAGTCGATGAAGATTCACGACC